TGAAACTGTTGCTCGACTTCGACCAGCTCGCAAAAAGGGTTGGGAGAAGACGACTCAAAAAACTTCGTTCAACAGCTATGAAGTTGTTGAAACTGTTGCTCGACTTCGACTAGCTCGCAAAAAGGGTTGGAAGAAGACGACTCGAAAACTTCGTTCAACAACTATGAAGCTGTTGAAACTGTTGCTCAACTTCGACCAGCTCGCAAAAAGGGTTGGGAGAGGACGACTCGAGAAACTTTGTTCAACAGCTATGAAGCTGTCGAAACTGTTGCTCGACTTCGACCAGCTCGCAAAAAGGGTTGGGCGAAGACATAAGTAGGACGGAGACAAGAAATCAAACAATTAAATGAAAAACTACAGCTACGAGGAGACGACAAAATATAGAAGCAACGAAAAAACAACAGAAGTAATAGACATTATATTAGAAGAAAATTTGTTACATCTGAAACCATCTCAACCTTTACATTGGAAAATAGGCTGAGATGGAAAAAAAAAAGAAGAGAAAAAGAGCACAAAAAGAAATACAAATACTACAACTAAAACAAAAAAATCTAAGCCTTCCGGGAGTCGGCTGTCAACTTCTCAGCGGCATCCCCACCTTCATCACCAATCGGCTCGGTCCCAGCGCCTTCCCCCTCCCCGATTGGCTCCGTACCGAACCGCTCGACTACCACCTTCCCAATCGGCTCTATACCCGGCCGCTCGACTTCAATCTCCTCGTCGACTGGCTCTTCTTCATAGCTGGCTCCACTCGGCTCAACCAACTTAACCGGGCCAACCAAAATAAGTGGGGGGACCTCAAGCTGAGAGGATAGCTCAGCCGAATGAATAGCCTTGGCCTCAAGGCCACTCCACCACGCATGGCTAGGAGGGAGAACGGCTTCCTTGTAGCCGACGGGGTCGGGGAGAGTTAGCTTCACGGCTTCCCGGTCGATTTTACCCGAGAAGTCGGGCTTAGTCACGGCTTGCTCCCACGTATCGCAAGCGTAATAAAAGTATTGGACCGCCGTGGGAACAAGCTCGTCAAGAAAGTCGGGGGAATCACAGAACGCCTCGACCACAACCTTGCGGTAATGTTTGAGAAAAACTGCCCCGGCTGTGGAATTCCAGAAGGTCCGTCGACCTTCCTGAATCCCATTTTCCCTCTCGACCAAGACCTCGTCATTGGCCTTGATCAGGTCGACTCTCAGCCGCTCAGCCTTTCGAACGGCCGCCTCCTTATCGGAGCAGAGTTTGGCGATGATGGCATTAGCAGCCTCGAGTTTCTCTTCCTTGGCCGCGAGTTCATCGCACTTGGCCGCGTATTTTTCTCCCAAAACCTTGACGTTGGTTTCGGGAGAGGTTGCCTCCTCGATCATAGTCGGGAGAATACAGGCGAGAAGCTGAAAAGAGAACGAACAAATGAAATGATAAGTCGATAAATACTAAGAAAAAAAAGAAGGAAAGGGGGGAGAACACAAAGATTAAGCTTACCCGAGGGATGAGCCGAGCAGCATAGCGAGCCCGATCGTAAGGGTTACCATCAGAACGAGCTCGGTCGTCCTCGGGAAGAACCGATTGGAGGTAGTTGAGGATTTGAAGGGGATCAGGGTTGTCGTAGAGCCGGGAAGGTTGTTGAAGGGT